TTAGGGCAGAGCTTCTCAACCTTGGCCACTTTAAGATGGGTGGACTTCAACTCCCAGAATTTAGTATATAATTTAGTATATAAATTTACTAAATAAGTCAACTTTGGAAGTTGTAGAGCCAGAAGTAACTGGAGGGCACCAGGTATAGAAAGGGTTATGCACCAATTCACACCAGTTCCTGGAAAACTACACGCACACAGCCCTTGGTCTGGTCTCAGTAGCACAGAGTGCTTCTCTGCGGCACATTCTGATTCAAAGCTGACCCTTTTCTTCCTTTCACCGATAATGTCTCAGTGCCACTTTTAGTAGCTTCTCTACTGTACCACAGCACGGGAGACTTTTCAGCCTTCCTGGAACACTCTCGTGCCAACACAGGCTCCCGGCTTGAACATGGCTAGGCCTTGCTGCTGTTCTTGAGCCCTCGCATTCTGGATGAAAAGGTCCTGGAAAGCAGATCCTGCAAGACTCTTGGGAAACTTTAGCTGGGTGGATGGAAAAGGCGAGACTGTCTCCTACTTTCCACATCCTCATCCTGCAACAACAGTTATTGTTTCCTCTGCTGCACCCACTGGACCTCGGGAAGAAACTGACCCCTGGAACTGAGCTCTCTCTTTCTCACTCCTTGGCGCATATTTAGATTTCTTCACTCTCAAGAGTGGCACTAGGAACTTCTAAAGATGCTGACGGGCTGCCCTGCCTTCCCCAAGTGTGCCTCAGTTAACCTGGAGTTAACACCTGAGAAGACGCTGAGACCCACCTGAGGAGTGCAGAAGCAGACTTGCTCTGCCATGTGCAATAAAACTTCCTGGTGGAGAAATGATGCCTTAGACCAACAGGAGGGGATTATGAAAGAGAAGCTTCACAGATCTCCAAGGGGGGCCCCATCAACTCTAGACGAAGTGTCAACATCAGTTCTCCCTCCAGAGCGGTAACTGCACATACCAGAAGGACTTTGTGCCAAGACTTTTAAGGATTTAGCAGAGGGTTAAGATTCCAGGCTGTGGCAAGGCCGTCACAGGAGTTGGAGCCTTGGGAGGATTAACACTACCCATTTAACTCTTCCAGTTCTTGAATGCTCTCACACACATCCACATCCACAGGCACAGGCACAATCTTCAGGTGTGGAGTCCTCGGTGCTCTCTGAGCTTGGTTTGTTGATTGCAGACGTTTCATTACCCGGCTAGGTAACATCATCCAGGGCTTATGAGTGTGGGGTTCGCTCTTTTCTTCTTCTTTTCTTTTCCTTTCTGATAACAGGGAAGTTTCCTTTCCCCCATTTCTCTGGCACATCATCTATGTCTCAAAGTCAGTACATGAAATTTCAGCCAAATCATCCATGAGCTCCTCTAAGCAAACTAAGATGCCATTCCTATCGCCCTGGAGCACTCAACCCATTTGAAGTTTACAACTGATTTATAGAATCCTCTTCTCAGAGAAGACCAAATAAAAAAAAGAGTTGAGGAGTTCTGTCTTTTCTTTTAACATCTTCCTGTCTTCTCTGAGCAGCTGATAGACTAATTCTTTTATCCTCCTTTTATTCTGGACAGATTTGAACAGAAGGAGCATTTTTTTTTGTTCTTACCCTCTGTTCCTGACCTTCTGAGTGTAGCTTTTCCAACAGCAGCTCTTACAGACTGTTCACTCGTCTTTTGCCTTTCTATCTGGAACTTACGTTCTTGGCTAAACTTAATTATTTCATGAGTTTATCTGTCAACTGCCCAGAGGACATCATTAATGATTATTATAACAAGCAGTCTCAATTTCTCCATACAGCCATTATTCTGATAATGCTTGAAGGAGCTACTCAGGCTATGGCTGACACAGTAAACTCTCTTTTTAAAAAGCAAATAAATTCGTTTTTTTAATACTTGCTGTTCCTTGGCTTTCTAGGACTATAGTCAAAGAGAAAAGTTATTTGATGATCAATCTGGTGTTTTCTCTGAACTTCTTTTCTGATTGCTTTATCCCACACAAACCTATGAACTGAAGTTGAGGCTGAAGGCCCTGTCTGGAATTAGCAGAGATGAACTTGCAATCAGATGCCACCTTCATGGCAATGCCCTCTAAAGGGTTCAGCAAAGCTTACTTCTTCAGTACTTTTGGTTCAGGCCAAAAGCTTTCATTTTCCTAGATTTTAAAAAATATTATCTGAATTTGTTTATTCTGCTGCTGCAAAGCTTTTACATTTTTATTACTGCTGTTATTTAGTAAGTTTGTGTCAGCCTTACAAGGCAGACCAGACAGGAAACAAGACCAGATGAGCTTATTCTACTTTATTGTAAGGCTACATTAACAGAAGAACATCTCTCCCCTGTCTCCTTTCAGCCCAAGAAACTAGGGAGGTCCCTTCTAAGCCTCTTGCCCCGTCCACATTCCTGCTGTGGGCTCAGCTGCCTTTTATCTGACTGTTCCCCTGGTTGCATCTTATTGCCCTGTTTCCCAAGGTCCTTCCCACATACCATTACATTTTGAGATACTATTATAATGCATGACAGATTTGCCAACAATGTATTAAAAAGCAGATAAAATCTAATAGCTATTTTAATAGCTAATTATTTTGCAAATTATTCTACAAAACTAATCTTCTTTTAATTAACTAATCTTATAGCAGGTTCAGGCTAGGATTAAAAGCTAGCCTTTAAACCATGACACATATTTACAAATCCTGAAGCATGATTTTGTATTAAATGTAGAAATCCTATCTTTGCTCCTAGAATTAAAGCTTTCTGCAAAACTCTAATAGTTACCCAACAATTATGACAACTAATGAGTGCAATGAAAGAGGTTGTTATAAAAATTGATTCCCTTTACTAAATTTGTAATCAATTAATTGCATAGGGTTCAGGTAAATCAAAATGCATCCATAAAAGAGGGAATTGTTGACATATTCAGAGATATGGAAAGGAAGATAAGAAAAGTATAATCGAAACAACCTCACACAATCTCGAATGTCACCTTTGATAATGTCAGCCATATCTCATTTTGCTAATTGCACTATAACAAAGCCAGAATTAATTGATTTTCAAATTTCAACACAGGTGCCCGTTAACACTACAATATCAAGGTAAAGTATTTTTAAATTTATTAAAAACAAATCTCCTCTGGAAGATTTAGCACCTGTTCCAAGCACACACACACCCCCCCGGGGAAACCACAACTGGAATGCCCACGGGCACTCTGCTGGCTCAACCACTGTTAATTGCACCATATTCTCCCAAAGACCATCTCAGAACAAGAAGGCAAAATAAGTGCTGTTTTTAGTGTGCCAAGAGATTCTGCTTCATTAGGCCAGGAAAAAAAAGGACCGTGTGAGTATTCCAAAGGAAATATGAGTAAATTGCTCTTAATGTTAGTAACAATTACAGAGGTCCCACCCCCCAAAAAAAGAAATTCCATACCAAACTATTTCATAATTGCTGGCCAAGTTGGTATCTACTGGGAGAAATCAGATCCTTCAACATCAAGTACCCAGATTCCCAGGAAATGTCTTTCCACTCCAAAACATTTTCAAGGGCGATAATAAAAGGTTTAGGATCAGTCCTGGCAACTTCTAAAAATAAAGACATGCAACAATTTTTATTTCTGTCAACTCTTAATAGGCAGGGAGGCCATGGGAAGAAGGTAGGACTTAAAGTTCTGTAAAGCCTGTACACGCTGATCCTAAGGTAAGTTAACATAATGCAATGTAAGGAGCATCTCTGAAGGGTTGGGGGGGTGTCTTGAGTAATGCAGAAGGGGGCATGGGGACATTCCTGCCTAAAACGTCCAGGATGAAGCTGTTCACTCTTGAAGGAGCAATTCCTCCAGCTTAGGAACACTTCTTGATAGAATATGGGTCAAGGCTTCTGCAGACCTAAGAGCATTTAATTATTTTTAGCTGCTCTACGTTTCTTTTTTAACAGAGAGATGCCTCTGCAAATCAAGTCAGCAAAACTTCCAAAATGATATTGGTAAAGATAGAGGCATAAGATATGTGAAAAGAAATCTAAGACTTATTTATAACATTCAGTAGAACTATATGCCCAACCATGCCGGATATTAGATTTTGTAAACCGACTTCGTTAGCACCTCGCCATTCTTTTAACATTAAAAATAACACTACAATAGTGGTCATTTTTATTAAGAGTTCAGTTTATTGTATCTGTTTCATATCATGCAATTTAGTCGTGTCAAAAAGCACTGTCATTCTGAGTGTGCCAGAAATATGGAGTCTGTAATGCATCAGGATAAAACTTAAAATCAACATTATTGTGGACCTGCTTAAAAAAAGGAAGCCCTGTTTATACTTCATATTCACCTTAAACTCATTCAGAAGCAAAGACATACTAGGAAGAAAAAAAAGAGTGCATATGGGGTAACTGCAAAAACAGTTAAATTTAAAGCAAAGTAATTTATGCAGGAAAAAAGGAAGCTGTTTTGATTAGCCCTGGAGAGGACGAACCTGTTTAGATGCGAGAATCAACTTCTGCAAAAAAGGGGTCTAGCGAATTATCTACTTCCCATCAGGAAAAGCACCTATCTTGCTAAGCAAGGACCAACTATTTTAAGCCCCCCGTCTATCCTCTTGTGGATCAAGCATCTGCCAATGTCACAGCAAGGACATCCTGAAGCCCCCCCTTTTCTGCCAACTGGAAAATCCAAAGGGCAATTGCCGTAGGTTAGATTGTCCATTTCTCACCTCCCATTACCCAAATTTTTGACGCCCAGGGTGACGGCCCCATCTTGCCATTGTTGGCAAGCAGGTGGTCATGCATCTTCACCAGCAACGCTGCTCTGTGAGGAAGCCGAGTAACGGTGCAAATGGCATTTTGACCCTCATCCATTTGCAAGCCAGTTTGCTCACTAAGCACAGTCAGGATGAGGAGTTGAACCTAACTCACTTTAGCCTTGAAAAGATATTAAATCCAAGCTAAAGCACATCACACAATGGAAATCCCCCTCTCAAGTCCAAGGGTCCCCCCCTACTTCTTATTAATGGAAGCTAAACACAGTTGACTCACCATCCAGTCTGGCAAATGGAAAGCAGAGGTTCCTTCGCTGTTCTCCCACTTCTCCATCCCAGATACTTTGGAGACAGTGGGTTTGTAAGGAGGCTTTGGTTTGGCTCTACAAAGCCAGGCAAGTGTGAACACCAGAACTCACAAGGGCCGCGCTGTGTCTTCTCAAGAAATCGACAGAACGGCTGGCTCTCTGGAAGACGGTGTTTTGTCTGTGGCGCAAGTCCTTGGCCAGATTAAGGCTTCAGATTCCAGAACTCAAACAGATACTTCAAAGAAAGCCCTCTGCGCCAATTTTTAGGACAGACGAATGAATTGCAGACTACCTGAGTAGTCTGTATATAGCTCCATGGCGCGGGTACGTGCAGCCCATCCACCCCCAGTCCTTGCAGAACCAATAAATTACATCACCCAAAGACCTGATTCCAGAGATCAATCAGGCCCAAGGTCAAGGAGGTGTTCCTTACCGGCCCTGCAAAATAGATGTCTTCTCACATGTAGCTTTGGTATCTGATAGCATTAAAAGTTTGTGTAACTAAAGGAAAGGGCCTGGCAGGACTTCCCGCTGCCAAGCAAGGATGCCTGGCACGAGGCCAGCCTGAAAGTATTTAAAATTAACTTTTGAGAACCATGACACTTGGGGGTTTGTTCTGAGATACTCTCTTTGGCTTGCCTGCAGCTCCCTCTGTTGGGTTGTGGTGAGAGGAGTGTGCATGAAAATTCACCGCACACTGAGAGACCAGAAATGGCAGGATTCAAAGTCCAGGCATTCCAGTCTTTGCCCACAGTTTGCTCACTCTCCTTGGTTCCCCAAGAATCCCACATGTAATTCACTTCAAGCCCTTTGGTGGTTGTGTCAACAACAGGCCAAGCCAGCAAGAACAAGCCTTGTGTGATGAAGGTTGTTTTCACAGATCTTAGCAAAACCGATACAGCACTGCTTGCAGTGTGACAAAACCAGAAGGCTTAATTCAAAGAGGAAAACTAGCATTTCTGATTCACTTAAAAGGGGAAGTTGTAGAAAGAGAGATATATTAGTTGATGGTTGCCAAAAATCAGGAGCTGTCTGGTCATGTCAGCCCATGTCAGATCAGGGCAGGAAACAGACGCCACAAGAAACACTAGAATTCTGCTTTATTGATCTTGGCTAATAGAATCTGGAAAGCCTGACACACATTTCTCTTTCCCTCCCTCTTATACGAAAGAGAATCAAGGCGGGGCATTCTTGAGTTTCTTTTTCACCCCTTCCCGATTTTCTGGATTAAGTTCATATTTTCCTAATGGCCGCTGGATATCCCTTCAAGGCCACAGTAGCTCCATACTCCTCTACAGGTAACCACTTTTGTGACTACAGTAACCCACTTTATTCAAAGGCATCAGCTTTCAGAAGCTGCAACTGTATCTCATGAAAGCTTATGCCTTTTAATAAAATGGGTTAGTTGTACAACATGCTGCGCGATTTCTGATTTTCATTAGAGGAAGGTGTCCTAAAATGCCCTCATCAGTAATGAATTGAGGCCTCCATGGGAAACCTAGAGCTGTAGACAAGCCACTTCTGGACTGTTACCAAGTCGCGCACTACAAAGATGATGATATGCAGGCAGAGCAAATGCTGTCCTTATGAACATCTGACTGCAAGCATATCAGTTGCAGTATTTTCGTGATGATGTCATGTATATTTCATCATTTGTATCCCCATCCTCCTCACCCTAGATGGATGTCGATGCTGCCGAGAAAACTGCAAGGACATGTTCACAAAGCCCAGAGTCCTAGAGTGGTCATAAAGCTGGGCACCCTTATACATTTCTAAAATCATCATAAATTCAAAGGAGACTTTCCCTTTATGCTTTTGTACTATGACCACTTCCCCAGGTGAATCTTGGCACCATATGAATTTTAGAGGGCCTTGTGGTCAATCTAGAGCAGTATTTCTCAATCTCAACAATTTTAAGATAATGTGGACTTCAACTCCCAGAATTCTTAAAAGTTGCTGAGATTGAGAAACATTGATCTAGAATCTCTAGAGCAGTATTTCTTAAACTTTTTCTTCTCTCAGGACCCTTATCCACTTTTAAAAATTATGGAGGACCCCAAAAGAGCTTTTGTTTGTATAGGTCGTATTTATTGATATTTGCCATATTCAAAATTAAAATGGTCCCATTTGTAGAATATTTATTTACTGAATCATGTAAAAGTAACAATATTAAACCCATTAGATATTAACATAAATATTTTTCATTAAAAAACCCTATGTTTTAAACAAATAAAAAATAATAACGAGAAGAGTGACATCTAGACAGCCTCTAGAGCAGTGTTTCTTAATGCATGGTCCAAGGACCCCGGGGGTCCCCCCAAGACCCTTTCCAATCAAAATTATTTGCCAGATATTGAAGATTTTGCAAAACTTCGTAACAACGTCACTCTTCTCATTATTATTTTTTATGTGTTCAGTAACAAACAAACAAAGTAAAATTTTTGCAGCAGATGCCACAAACCACAGCCATGCAGAATAATCCCTTTATGTTACCAAACTTTATTTCTTCAAACTGCCCGTGCTTTAAACCAACTGGAAAGCGAACAAGACTGATATCGACTCCTACAAGTTACTGGGGGGCTTAAGCCAGTGTTGTCCAAACTTGGCCACTTTAAGATGAATGGACTTCAACTCCCAGAATTCCTCCTTGACTTAATGTGGACGAAAAGGGGAAGAAAAGCCCGGTCACACACAGGACAGGAGGACGAGAAAGCAGGCTTGCCGATGCCCCACAAGTAGCTGCGGTAGCCGGGGAAGCCCGCAGCTGTCCGTGAGTCTGCCCTGCCCGCATGTCCGTCTGCGTGCCCGTTCTTGCTGGCTCCAGGGTACACAGCGCAAGACCCCAGCGGCCAAGGAGCCGCCCCGTTCGCCCAGGGCAGGTGGGCCCCACTGGAGCGCTCCTTCCTTGCTCCGACAGTCTTTGCCCCTTACACAGCGATTGCCAAAAGCCCCAAAGAGTCCACAAAGAGAAAAGGCCTGTCTGGACCAGCTGTGACATCAAGAGGGGTGCGGTGGTGGAATGAATGCGAGCCGGGTCACTTGTTCACGGGGGCTTGCTTTTTAACTGGGACTGGGGGTTTTTCTGGTTTTGGGGGTGGCTGCAAGCCACCTGGAGTCATGGAGCTCGAGTTGGGTGGCCATACCTCTTGCTTAAATCCATTAAATAAACGCTTGGGTTGTCGGGAACAAGCTTGAACCTGCAAGCCCACATGAGGATGTGCGTACCTGTGCTATCAAGGAGGGCCCTAAGGGCACAACCGCAACAACAGCAACGTGCCCCTTTTTCCCAGCCCAGGAGAAGTGTGTGGACAGAAAGAAGAACACGCAGATTGTTCCCGTCAACAAAACCTGCTTTAATACTAATCACGCTGATCTCGCAATGCACTGGATCCATGTGCGCTCCTGTGTGCGCATACACACAGAGCCTACCTGAAGGGGGCATGGCATCCCCCACAAAAACTACACAACCCACAAGCGCCCATC